TTCAAGAGAGAGGAGAAGTGGTGAGAGGAGTGCCGGTCGTTGAACCGGGCGACGATCTTTTCTGGTTCAACCGCCCCGGACTCCTCCTTTTTCTCATCAACTTCGTTCTTTTTCAGGTATTGTTTCCTTCTTGGTTACATAATTATGGAATATACTTTTGGACTCCCAAATTTAACCTATGTTTACTTTTTGTTTCGCAGAATGCCTTTCAGCTTGCATTCTTTGCATATACTTTGGTACGTACGTAACAATGTTAATTTTCTCTACTGATAGTTTTAATTAATTAATTGCTTTTTGACTGTGTTGTTGGGGTTTTATTTTGTCGTAAATAATTATTATTTCTCTAATGCAATTTCTTGTTCTAATCGTTCTTTTTTACAGTATGAATTTGGTATAAGTTCTTGCTTTCACGAGAACGTGGCAGATCTAGTCATCTCAATTTCAATGGGGTAAAAGAAGTTCAACTTATTTTTGTTTACATTCATTTATGACTGCGTAAACTTATTGGAATTATTGCTCCAAAAGGCTTCTAACTTTATATTTTTTTCAAAAATAGGGTTGTCGTTCAAATTCTTTGCAGTTATGTCACTCTTCCTCTTTACGCCCTTGTTACTCAGGTGACTAAAATATATATACTTTTACCTTTATATAAATAACCCACGTTTTCATCGTTCTAGATACTGAATTTATTATTATTATTATTGTGAAATTTTCATATACAATTATATAATTGATTTATTGTTTTGTTATAATTAGATGGGTTCACATATGAAACCAACCATATTTAACGAAAGAGTAGCCACAGCTCTAAAGAATTGGCACCGAACGGCTAAGAAACACATCAAGAGCAACAAGGGTTCGGTCACGACCACCCCTTTTTCTAGCATACCCAACACCCCATCGCATCGCACATCCCCGGTTCACCTCTTGAGGCACTACCAGAACGAAACAGACAGCGTCAATGCTTCCCCGGGGAGATTGAGTTTCGATGTCGAGCGATCGGAAACAGATTCTCCATCCGTTTCGTACCACAATTATGTCGATGGTTCATCGTCTCATGATCCTAACACGATGGATCAGGTTCATGGAAGTACCGATAGAGATATAAAAGAACCGAGTTTTAATGAAGAACGTGAATCTATACACCATGCGATCAACATCTTACCCACAGAGTTTTCGTTCGAGAGAAGAACGAGTATATGAAGATAATATTTATGCATTTTGGATCACCCTGTGTAGCATATTTTTGACAAAATATGGAGTTTCGGGGACTGGGATTTCTTTGTATAATTTGTGTTTATTGTATGGATAGGCTTACATGTTTCATTTTCTTTTCAACCAAGGCTGATCGTTCCTAGCGTACCATGAAAACAAGTTACTTTTTATTTTTATTTTAAATTGTCATCCATTTCAAATTAATTACTAAAATGATATTCTCTCCTAACATATAAAATAAAAATACTTCATATCATCCATAATTTTCAGAAGGCACATTTTTTTTTAAAAAAAAATTTACTTTATGTGGCAGTCCAATCAATAAATTTCAAAAGATATATTAATTTATGTGAAATACACAACTAATAAAATACCACTTTTAGGGGATTATATTAAAAAATACAGAAAAAATGTTATAAGCTTAAACTAATTTGTTATAGATTTAAGAAAATTAAAGTTGTTATAAAATTAAATGAATTTCTTATAAATTTGAAAAAAAAAACTTAAATATAATTTCTTTGTGAATGAGTTACATATTGTGGTGGTCATAAGTTTTTCGTTGGATTTTTCTATGTATGCTATTCTTTAACAGAATCATCATTGTCATTGTTTCCCTCGTCTTGATGAGCATTATTTTCAATATTGTCGGTATCGATGTGCGTTAATCGAGCGAATTCATTCGTCAACGTACCTAAATCATACGACGATGAATGGAATGGGATGAATAACGAACGTAGCGATGTCTAATCAATAATTTCATCATTAATTACGAACTACGAAAATTAAAAAATTATCATCGATGAAAATGATATCATTGATTGGACTAACTAAATTGGTTGTGTTGATATTAACGGAAGAGCACAATATGTGAAATACGATGAAGATGAAATAAATATTGAGTCCGATAGTACAGGTGTATGATAACCTCGCTTTATACTCAGCATACGTGAAACAAATTATGCTTTATGATGTGGTGTTCTGAGAGGTGTTGATGACGATGAGTTAGAAAAATTCGTTCTTCCTTGATTAGTCAGAGGAGGAGGATGTTGCGTCAATTGACCTTTTTTTCTATGTCGTGGATAGACATGACTCATTCCTCATTAGACAAATAGATATGACTTCTCGTGTTACATGAACCATGCCATGTAATCATTTAAAACTGTCATGTCAAACTCGGAGAAGATAAGGATAAAGAAAACAATCATTTTGTGTATGTCAAATCTCTGATAACTCGTTGTGTTTCCTCTCCGATCAACATTTGTCTTCTCTCATCTGTTAGCTTTGTGCACATTGTCTACGTCAAACAACTATTTTGGGAATAGATTGTACAACCCAAACTGTTATAACACACGATCACTCTAATATCATTCAATATTTACGGAACAAATAAGAGATTCAATCACATGTCATGTGTCTAATGGAATATTCAACTCAAGTATGATACAATCCTCAATTCCATCATTAATATTTTACGGAACAAGTTAGCTTTTGTTGTGCAATTTTATTTTTGAATTTTCTAGGAAGAGAAGTCTGAACGAACAATGACAATAAAATGCATAAAAGTGCTAACCAGGCCCAACTGCAGGCAGCGCTTTAACAAAGAAATTTTATCGGTCTGCCATAAAACGACAATTCCCGCCTTGATGTTCATCATCTCCCACACAGTTTTACAAGGCGCTTCCAATATACAGCGGCCGCTATACCCCATGTTATTTCTTTATGGTTCTCTTTTAAAAGCAACTTTAGTAATCGTGTTATACGGAGCTTATATATCATAACCATTTAACCAAAGATAGAATCATTTGGTGCGAAGAAAAGAAGATCGATCAGAAGGATAGTAATGGAGAAGAAGGTGGAGAGATGGGTAGTAAAGCTGAGTCGGCAATGTTACGCGGCACTGTATTTGAGTGTGGTTCTTGTTTCTGTCACAATCGCTCACTTTGATTCAGCATGAGGATGCTCGTGAACACACCAAGCGTCGCCTCCGTCCTTTGCATAGACAAACAAACGGCCAAGCTGAACACAAATTCAAAACAAGTTGAAGCAAGCTTGACCAGGTTATTTTATTGCTTTGGGGGGTTGCAAAGTTTGCTCCAATGGGTTGGGTTCAGTTCAACCATGGAGTTTTTTCAACACAACTAGGATCCAGCTCTAGCTATCAACGTGAAAATTCATCATGAGTTTCAACTCGGAAGAATCGAATAAATGGGAAAACAGAGGAGAAATGGAGTAGATGTTGATGATTGTTTTTCTTCGATTTGGGTTCAACTTTGTATGGAACTTAAGAAACAAGTTTTGGAAGGATAGTGGCTCGTAAGTTGGGCCATTGGGTAATCTCATTCAATTTTAGCATCTTTCCATATATACATTGAACAAGAGTTTGGTTTAATGAAAATTTTCAGAATAAAATATAAACATAATGTATGTTATTGTTTTCTATCACATATATGAAATTTTAATAAATCCATTAAGTGATCTTAATGATAAAAGGAAGAGTAGTGATAAAAGGAACAGTGTTGTTCGAGGAAATTAGCGGGGATCGATACAGCTTGCTTTTGCAAAGAGACAGACGGGAAGTTATCTGAATCGCACATATTACCTATAGATATGAGGGGTTTGGTTTTAAAAACAAGAAGGGCATCAAGCCCTATTCCATCCATCACTTGCCTGTCTCCATACCAGGTTATTTCTTCAATCAAATTTGCAAGCTATGGAACTCCTCATGGCACTTGCAGCAGTTTTAGCAATGGCAGGTGCAGCAGTGCAAAATCACGATCCATTGTACACAAGGTGCGATCTTGATCACTATTCGTATGTATGGAAATTTTTACTGTTGCAGGCAAACCATTTCCGACCATAATAATTGTTAAAACTTTACAGGCTTGTGTTGGATCGTTAAGTTGCAGTATCGGTGTATCAACTAGCACGTTTGGTGACCCTTGCAAGGGAGTAAAGAAGAGCTTAGCAGTAGAAGTTTCTTGTGCATGAAGATATGTCAATAAGCATGCATTATTGGGTGCGAGCAAAGCATTGCCCCCCAGTATGTGCTCAATCAAATAAGCTTTTCGACAAAAGGATTCTTCTCGGAAAGGGGTTAAACATACCGGAAATATGTTCTTGCCAGCACTGGAAAAATAAACATTAGTGTGGTGTAAACTTTAATGGCATTTCTGCATATGTATCTTATAACAGAGTATATGCCTTCTTGTCATAGGTACAATTTCATTAAAAGTATACCAATATAATAGCAAAAGGTAAATAGGTCTGTTATTTGAGCAAATGTCACCTAAAAAGAGCAAAGGATACTTGTCAAATAGCCTTTGCCTTCTAACGAAACGTCCACAAACATGGAGACACTATAAGTGATGGGGAGAAAACAAAATGGGGAAGGAAAGGAAAAGAGAAAGAAATCGAAAAAGACCCGAATTAATCTCCTTGACATGGGGGATTATCGGAATATAGGAAGATCGTATTTTGTTTGTGGGTCGGAACTTGATGCTGCAACTATGGCATTTGAGGTTGCCCCTTCGATGTCACTTGCCATCTTTAGAAAGTAACTATGCCTGCACAATCAAACCATTTACCACTTTCACTTAGAAACCAAAAAGAGGAACATTTAAATCCTCAGATGAGATCATAAGCAAAATTGAAGAACTTAATTGAAGGTTAACATCTTCATACCATCTGGTGTCTGCAGTCAACTCAGGGTGGAAAGCAGTTCCTAGCAATTTTCCTTGCTTCACGGCAACTATTACTTTCTTTTCAGGCACAGCAGACTCCTGAAATACCCAAAATTTTAGATGACAAGAATTGACACAGGTGAAGTTAAAGACCCGGAAACAGAGAGATGAAAGAAATAAACGAAATAGATGTGCAATCAATTACTTGGACATTTATATGGAAGCATGATTAACAAATCTAGACTCCTTTAGTTAAGGGAATGTATAAAATTCTATTGTTCTATGTTTGACTATAGCAATGAAGAGTTCAATAGAAAGAGTGCCGGTATACCTCATGAATTTCAACGGCTGAACTCGAGTATAGCACTTTATTTGATGGGATATGATAATCAGCAAGCACTTCAACCTCTGGCCCCACTTCAAGGATGGCAGGAGCACGGATGAAAACACCACGAAAAGTCTCAGGGCCACCTTCTTTGGATGCAAGTTCTGGCACTACAAGCTCTGCCTCAAAGCTCTGGATCTAAATAAAATTTGGTTTGTTAAGGAAAAAAGAAGAAGAAACAATTTAGTTCAATGTTAGAAGCTTAAAACAAATTGTGAAGCAAGGATGGGGGACGTTGAAATCTTCTTTGTCACTGTAAAACTGATTTCAATAAGTGAAAGAGGTTTCTACATCCTAGATTTATGAAAACAAAATTGTTAAGCTAGGTAGAACCATATCAATTTATTCACAAAACAGAATTCCGATTTGTCACTGTTTTCTTACCATCTACGTTTCAGTTCTTTTAGTTGACAAATCTGTTTAAGCAAATTTATCAGCATAAATGGGAATGGTGAAAAAGTTGATATCTTCAAGTAATAACAACAACATCATCATGCAAAGCCTTTTGTTATAATATAGAATTCAACTACCATATTCTAGTGAAATTAGTGAAAGCAAATTATATTCTTAGACTCCTCCAATCATCCCCTACCCATTTGACATAAACATTTTCAGTATATCCATACAACATCATCATAGCATCATTATTGCATCATCATGCCCGTAATCATTTAACTAAGCCAACAATCATTTGAGGTTTTGGACCAATGTTCTGTGAGTGGTATTTCTATAAAGAACACATTTGCATATTAAAATGCCGGTTACAAAACATGGAAATTTTGCATCTTTCTAGATTTCCATTTTTGTAAATGTATGTCTCTTTGTTAACTATTAACCATGCAACTTCTGGAGAAAGGCTAGTTCAACTAAGCAGTGCAATACAACGGTATACAGTTTACAAGCATCATAGAAGGCATATGTAACTACCTGCCTCCCAAAGTAATTTCTATGAACGGTGCAATCCAGACCCCCTACTAATTCTTGCCCTCCTTCTTTCTGTCCTGAAAAGGTTGCACAATTTCAAATTCAAAAGCTTTTGAATTATCTTTTTGGAAAATTGCTTGGTGCAAATTGTATACGGTTCACAAACAGAACATACCAACAGCTTTGTTTGCCAAAAATATAAGACCTGCACAAGTCCCCCAAACTGGCTTCCCCATTTGCACAAACTCACGCAGTGCTGGAAACTGACCAGAAATGAAAATTATTAACCAAACATTTGCAAAGGAGACAATGACGGTTGCTGTCAACTGAAGAGATTAAACTGGCAATGACACAGGAAAATTTGGTCAGCCACTGTTTGCAAATAACTCATTTGAACACTATGAGAACTTAAATCAGAGTTAGGTTTCGCAATTATTTCATTTATGAGCAAAGTATTCAGCTATATATCCCTCAAAGGATCTAACAATGACAAACTCATTCAACCCTTTTGCATAGATCAAAAAAGTCAATCGCAGGTACCAAAGCATATCCAAATACACATGATAAAAAACCACCAAAGTTGCACTTATCTTTGTTTGAATTACTACTTCATTCTAATTATTTACTCATAACTAAAATGATCTCAAATCTTAGCATTTGTGTGTGTGTGTGTGTGTTTTTTTTTTTTTTGCTTTAACTACTAGAAAAAAAACAAGCAACGACAAAACAAGCCAAAACGGCGTTCTCGATCTTCTTCCATTCTTTTTAGAACCTGAATTATGGAGGGAAAACAAACAAACAAATAAGCATATAAGAAACTAAAGAGAGAATATACAAGATTGTGAAACTCAGCAAGTTTAGCCATGGTGGTGCTTTCTCCACCAGGAATGATAAGAGAACTGATACTTTGAAGATGCTCTGGCTTCCTTATCTCCACTCCTTTCACTCCTAACCTCCTCAGCGCTGCAAAAAGTAAATGATACAGTATAATTTAAGGTTTTCAGCCAAACATGAAAAGTCATCAATAAAGCATTCTGAAATATCAGGGTTTAAAGATTATTGCCCGCTATGTGTTCGTTGAAAGATCCTTGTAAAGCCAATACTCCGACAACGCCCATGCTCGATTCTTTCACTCGACGAGAGAAACAGAAACGTCGAGTAATTGAATTGTTTGCTTTCTTTGTGGTTTTCTTTCTATGGTAGTATTTTAATTATTCAGTAGTGGAAATGTTAACCAATCAAAACATAATCGAAAAAAGTTAAAAGAAAAGGATCTGGAGGCTATAGCGTTGCGTACTTGCCACCAAACCACTAGTCCACTTAGGGATGGCAACTCAACCCGAATCCGACGGGTTCCGACCCGACCCAACCCGATCAGGTCGGATTTTTTTAAAAAAAATTCGGGTTCGGGTCGGGTCGGGTCGGGTTTTTTTAAATGTACTGTTCGGGTCGGGTCGGGTCGGGTTTAGGGTGAAAAAATCCGACCCGACCCGACCCGAAAAATATATATAATTTTATCATATATATTTAGGGATAATTACAATAATGTCCCTCCATATATAATTTTTTTCAATTAAGTCACTGTTTTCATTGAATAAAATTTTTTTTATTATTATTTCGGGTCGGGTCGGGTCGGGTTTCTAAGTCATATATTCGGGTCGGGTCGGGTCGGGTGAAACCTTAATTTTGTCGGGTCGGGTCGGGTCACGGGTGAAAAATCCTTTCTTCTCGGGTCGGATCGGGTGGCCCAAAAACCCGACCCGACCCGACCCATTGCCATCCCTAAGTCCACTTCCCACTCCCACATCAAAATTATTAAAAATTTTGAAGGTTTTCCTTCATTTATTTATGGCTTAAATATATAAAACGTGTCTAACTTATGCTGATTTTTTTTAGTTTAGTGTCTAACGTTTATTTCATTTTAGTTTGGTGTCTAATATTTTATTTCGTTACTCAAAATGGGTCAAGTTGTGACGGATCATGTTTTCTCCGTTAAGTGACACATGTCACAATCTAATAATTTTAAAATTTATTTTTTTAAAAAAAATAATATTAAAAATAATATTATATTTATAAAAAAACTCTTATTTCTTTTAAATTACAAAAAAACCTCAAGATCCCTAAAATCCCCAAATCCTAACACTAACCTGTCGCCGACACCCTTTTCGGCCACGACCACCATCGCCGACTTAGCCCTTGCCATCATTCTAGTTATAAGTCACCGTAATTGTCATCGATTGGCCTCCGAAATCGGTTGGGATTGCGATTTTCATCCTAGGGTTCGCATAGTATAAAATGTCGATTCGCCGTCGATCAGTCACTATTTTATAGGGGTTGTGGTCGTCGGGGGTAGGTGAGGTGAAACTCCGTCACGACAAAGGGTGGTGGTCGGCGTAGGTTTAGGGGTTGAAATGAAGGCTTTTAAAGTTTTGGGGTTATTTCAAAATTTATGTGTTTTTTAATATATATACTTTTATTTTTTTTAATTTATATAAATTTTTTAAAATTATCAGATTGTGACATGTGTCAATTAACAGAAAAAATGAACGGTCTGTCACGACTTAACTCATTTTGAGTAACGAAATGAAACGTTAGACGTCAAATTGAAACAAAATAAATGTTAGCCATTAAATTGAAAAAATGGGCATAGGTTGGGGATGCCTTTATTTATTATCTACTATTTTTGTAGTACAAAAACAATGATAAACTGACTGACGGTCTATTCCCAAGACGACAACAATAATAATATATTTTCTAAACTACATGTTTGGTATATCAATTATTTTTTTTATTTTGGTCACTTGATTTTTTTTAATTATATATAACATTTACTTTTAATTTCATTTTGATTACCAATCGTTAAAAAATAACGATGATGTTGACATGTCACCATAAGGTAATGCTAAGTTATCATTACGTTAGTGGTTGTGTCAATTTTTTAACTGTGAGTGATTAAAATAAAATCAATATATAAAGTTAGGTATGCATTTAGAAAAATAATTGGATGATCAAAATAAAATAAAAGTGATAATTAAAATATTAAACATATAGTTTACTCTAATATATTATCACAATCTCAAACATTAGGGTATTTTACCTAAAAGGTTTCCTTTCAACAATTAAGGACCAAAATATGTTTGTTTATGAAATAATGTTAGAAATATACATAATTTTTCAAAAACGAATTAAAATATACTTAAAGCTATATTTTATTCAAGTTAAATGATGGAATTTTCAAGCTCATGATTAAAATGAATTTGATTCAAAGCAATTATTATAGTTGAATCTTATTGTCGTGTTGTAAAATCTAAATTGTGAGATTCAGAATTTATCAAAATCATGAGTAGGTATTAATTGATTGGATCCAAGATCTATTGAAGTTACATTTTGTACAAAGGGACGCTGACTCTGATTGTCTGGCACGTGATGTGGTTGTAGCCTAGGATTTGTTACTGTTAATGATTTAAGGGTATTCAACGGTGATTATACGTAAATTTTCGTATTTCATTTAAAAAATGATTTTTAAACCGTAATTCGGTCGGACATAATTAGTCCCAAACGGATGGTGTTACTAGAGATGGGCATGGGTCGGGTTTCAGTCAACCCGACCTGACTTAAAAATTTTACATCATTCATTCGACTGGAAAAATATATACCTTCCATCAGAATTGAAACCGATCTAATTTTTTGAGATAAAATCCGAACTCGATCCGACCCGAATTGAAATAATAATAAAAATATTATTTGGATTTAATAAAAATGATGATTTAATTGAAAAATAATATATAGAGGGTATTATTGTAATTATTCTTAAATATATAAGATAAAATTATATTTTTTTAGGTCAGGTCAGATCGGATATTTTTCACCATAAGCTCGAATCCGACCCGATCTGAACATCACATTTAAAAAATCAGAGCCGACACGACTCAAACATCACCTTTTAAAAAATT